ACATCTGATGCATCGGCGTTAGGAGATTTCGAGAGAAAGGTTTTGCGTAATATTTATGGTCTACTACGAGGGAAATCATCGGCTGCGCTGGCTAGGTCATGTGGTCTAGGTTTATAAGAATATTTCAGCTTTGAAAGCTTTCGATGAGGTATCCGCCGATGGAAGCAGAGGAAGAGGAAGACCTCCACTCCGTTGGAAAGACCAGGTAGAGAAGGACCTGGCTGTACTTGGTATCTCCAATTGGCGCAAACAGCAAAAAAAGAAGAAACGAATGGCACAATTTTGTTAAATCGGCTTATCGGTAATATTAGAAGTACTTACCTTTCGAGTTTATCCAAAGCTTTCAATGTGAAAATATGTAATATTTTTAATATCAATACACAAAAGTACATTTTATTTAAATTCTCATTTATGGTGTATGGAATTTACAAAATATTACAATACAATCTTTATTTTTCTTTTAATATTTTATATTTCAGCCACTTTGTTTGTGAAACTTGAGAGATTTTCGAGTTTTTAGAGTGTACGTATTTAACATACGCCTTTATGTATCTAGGTATGTATGTACGTGTATGTAAATATATTGTATTATTTTGTTAGCGGTTTGACATTGTACGTTTCGACATTTGTTATTTAATTTAATTAATTAATTATTTACTTAATTGTTTTTGTTATCTTACTCAAGTGAACATTACAGTGTAGAGTATTAAATTTATAGCTACCGATTTGAAAATGCATCTCTGAATTTGTATGGTGATTTGAGTTGAAAAGTTCTTTAGTTTTTTAGTTCTTTAGATTTGTTATAATTTTGCAGAATAACTTTGCAATTTTAAATGTAAATTATATGTATGTGTATTTGAAAAATGTAAATGCGTAATTTTTCGTTCTTTCAGCTGGATTTCATGTTTGCCTTTTTCACTTGTATTTTTTTGTGTTAATGCCTAATCATATTTCATATAAATGAATTACAATTTAGCAATAAAATATTTACTTAAATTATATATTTAAATAGAATAGTATTAAATTGTAATGTATGTTACATATATATTGTGTATCTCAAAGTAAATGTATGTTGTATGTGAGTAAGCCAGCCTGATAAGTATGACAGTTTAAATTTTAAGTAAGTAATTTCAAGAAGCAATCATTCTAATTCTATTACGTTTTCCGGATATAAATATATATACGAATGTACATACAAATGGAAGATTTTTCAAAATCATATTTTCATTTTTTTTAAATAAATTTTTGCGCTGTTCACTGAAAATTGTTGGTGTAAAAAACACATTTTTAGACATCTACCGTCAAAAATTTATACACACATACATACGTAAATAATTCAGTGTGCTTAGTAAACATACATAAATATTATATATAAAACATAAACAAATATATATGAACAACAGAACTTAACAGCAATATGTAAATATTTTTTTTTTTACAAAAAAATCGATATATTCAAATAAATTCGAAAAGCGCGTTTTGATATGACAAATGATATTTTTATGCCGTTATTTACAACTGATTTGAATTTTATAAATTATTTTTCAATAAAAATAATAATAATTGTTATAGAAATAAATTTGGAAATAAAATGATTTATTCAACTGATGAAAGTAATAAACTCTTGCTCAAACAAAAATAAAATTCTTTAAATGCGGCTGCTCCTTCGAGGCATTGCAGTGATAGAATGTTTATATGCTACTATAATTTTCAAATAGTATAATTTTTTAATATTTTTTACTAGAGATTTTTAATTTTTTAAGAAAACATTGTTGGAGGTATATAAATTTATTGTGGGAATTTCGAAATAAACTAAAACAAAAAAAATATCAATTATTTCAACAATATTGTGTTCAGTTTTAAGTAAATTCAAATGAAATTCATTCATTGGTCTAACAAAAATTTAGAAATTAATTTAACTGTTGTGTCCATTAGTTAAAAAATGCCGTCCGGTACGAGTTCTTAACACATTTTGGATATTTCGGGTTTTTTCAATAATGAAAGTACTATGTATTTCAGAAAAAAATAAGTTAAAAATAGAGTCTGAATTTCGCTCTACTCTGTAGTTATAATCGTCAATTTTATTTACATTTTCACATGAACCAAGAAAAGATTTCTGAATTAAAATTGTTAGAAAGAAAATCGCAATAAGGACTTTCAATGATATTGCCTTTATTGAAATGTCTTCACATTGCCGTTAATGATGGAACACCACTTCATCCATAAACATATGGTACAGTCAAACCGCAGCTGTGAGCTGCTGTCCTGCCGATTTCAGCTACTTATACGACTTTCGAACAGAGCACGCAAAAGCTCGATTGTAACATTCAGCATTGACGCCACAGCAACACCATAAATTTTGCATGTTAACATAAGAAGTGAAAACAAACTTTGTCGGTTGATTTTCAGTAAAAATGGTCATCATCTTCGAACTTGAGCCCATTTAACGAAGCAAAATCGCATCGTATGATTATTTGTCGCGTTGATGTTGATGGCTGTTTGAGATGCCGCAACAATATTTTGCTCTGAACTCACTGAACGAGTACATACTGAACCGTCTTCATGAACCAGATTCACAAATTGATAAACAAACTGCATTGAAGGCGAGTTATTGCGCCGGAATTTCGTGCATCGTTTTTTTATTTTACAGTTAAAGGCTACCTAAATTGCAAGTAAGTTTGTAATACTTGCCCAATTTTCTTCAAATGTTAATTTAACCATTTCATGGACCGCAAACATTGCACTGTGTATTAGAAATATAGAGAATGGAATTCGAGTTTGGTGTTTACAAACAGCACGAAATAATTGCGTAAATTCGAAAAGAGTTTTTTGAAATTAATTAGAGATTTTCCAATCATTTCTTTTCGAAAAATATTGCAGTCTTTCTGGAGTTTTTATAAAGTTTTTTGGAAAACAATTGATTTAGGTGATTTTGGTATAGAAAAAAGATTTCAAGATTTCAAGATTTCAAGTCATAAAAATTTGTTGAAAGGTTTCTACTATTCTTTTCTTTTGAATTTTCATCAACATTTCAATTGACTTTTGTATTCTACAATATCATCTGCACACTCATTTGAGTACAATATTTTTCTTCGTGTAGTAAATTTTGAAGCAAATTGCTGAGTTCAGAGATTAAGATTTCGACGGTATATCTTGTTCGAGTCCTATTTTAATCTAACAAAACGTCTCAAAATTTAATAATTATATTAAATGGAAGAAAATATTATATGTAGACAAGTGCTACGAATCTTTTGAAATTGACCTCGAAAAGTTCGTATTTACATAAAAAGCTACACTAAGCATCTTATTGTTTTTTCGTTGATAGCGGACATGATAAAAATATCCATTAGGTATAACCGCTCAGTGAATTCGTTTGCTTTTTAAGGTTTGGTTATATTTTAAAGAAAACTCAACTCAACTCAGAAAACTCAATGAAATTTTTTCGTAAAAATTTAATATTTTGGTAAGGTTGCTGCAGTGCAGATATTTTTTAAGAACCGAAAATAACCTTAAGCTTTTACATAACTATGTGTCTCTCATCGGGTATCATTTACTACATTAAAAAAAATTATCCTGGCAGAAATATATACAAATATGTATGTAAACACATACATACATATGTATATTTCTGTGGCTTCTAAGTAAAATAAAGAATTATTGGAGATATGAAAACAATCAACATTTTCAACTAGTCCAAAGCGGTTGCAACTGCAAAAGAATATTTTTATTATGATTGCAGAGCAATTTTAATACTATTTCAGAAAAAGAATTCAAACTTAAGAAGCAGCATATATATATGTACATATATATATACATATATATATAAGCGATTTCCGGCCAAGCTCCTCCTCCAATTTGTGCTTTTGCGTCCTGATGTTTTCCCAACAAATGGAGGGACGTACAGGCTACATTAAGCCGCCTCCGAACGGCTGATGGTTGTCTTATGAGGAGCTTTATTTCATGTCAGAAATACACCCGGAGGGGTTGATATTCCCTGCCGAGGAGCAACCGCAATTAGAAAATTTAGATATTTTTTTTATTTAAATTAACTTTCTATAACTTTCGGATGCTGGTCGCACGGGGATTTCAGCCCGAGCCATCCGAATGGCAGTACGCATTGCTAACCATATACATAGATATATATATCTAATTGCACAATCATTTCTACAGAAGATTAACAAAACTGTTTCGTTTTATAGAAAATAATAATAATAAAACGGCTGTTTACATATAAATATATTTGAATTCTTTACTATCAGGCTATAAAGACATAGTTCGGAGACATACATATATTGTTAGCGTTAGAGAAATGGAAGATATATTGTAGATATATGGATTTTTCGCTATGAAAGTCAGTTTAATAATAAGCATTTATATAGTGTGTAAAGTAGAATTTTAAAATATTTTTTCTTTTCGGTTTGTTATGTGAATATTTTGTTGCCTTTGTTTTCAGAACTTCTTATTACATTTCTATTGATTTTTTTATAACATTATTTAATTACTTTTATGCAAGATTGTATATGTTTGCTTGTAAAAAATTTTTGTCATACATTTAAACATCCATATATATATATACATATATATATGTGAATATGCAATTACTAAGGAGACGTGTGTACTTGAATTAGTTTAATTTTCGCAAATTAGGCGCTAAAGCAAGAGCTCTTCGTTAACGTTTTTAATATAATTTACCGCAATGTAAATATTTATTAAGTATTACAACTGTTGTTTAGTCTAAAAATCTTCTTTGATTAAAGTTTTTTTTTTTACAAATTGTTTATATTTTGCTTGTCAATTTCATTTCTCTTTTTGCTAAGAATTTTATGCAATTTTAAAGAAAATATATATTTTTCCTTAGTAATTTCTTTAAATTTTGTATTTTTGTTGTTTTTAAGTGATTGTGTTTTCTTGGTTTTGTTGTATATAATATTTTATCTTAATTCCAATTTTTCGCTTACTCAATTTCGTTATAATTTTTTGTATTTTATTTTATATATATATTTTTTTTTTCAATTTCGTCATTCCATTTGTCGTATTTATGTATCTTTATGTCATCAACATCATCGTTCGGGCATCTTGTGGCGTTTGCATACTTGAGTGTTGTTGTTGTTGATGCTGCTGCTGTTGCATTGAATTTCACGCCTTGGCTCCGGGTATTTTCGACAACACTTTCGACAAGTCCACACCGGTCAAGGCATTGATGGACGGTGGCAATTGTGCAACGAGACGTGTTACATCGTTTGTTAGATTATCATTACCGCCAATGAGTACGATCTCATCGGTCTTGGCGAGTGGTGCAGCTACTTCGGCAGCGATCTGTAAATAAAGAAATCAAATAAAAAGACTTGCATTGAGAAGAATTCATTTTGAACTATTTTTCTGCTTCAAAATATGATTAGTGCTTGATTTCTACTTCGAAGCAGGAGCACAAAACAGTGGTAATTGTAACGAGAAGTATATTGGAATAGTCGTGACCTGGTTCCGATAGATAGCTACTCAAACTGATAGATTTCTCTTCGTCTATGACATATGTTGGGACTGCCATACAGTCATAATCCGCGTAGCAATCGATAACCTCAAAAAACAATTAAACCAGAGAGTCGTCACTTGTGCTACTAGTGCATGTGCCGATACCTAGCCGTCTCGTTGTTCGTTGTTGAAACCGTCTTGCGACAATGTTGCTCTCGGCTAGCGACTACCGTATAATTAAATCCCTTCGTCTCATCTTCTCTCCTTGGACTTAAGTATGTTGGCACAGAGGCTTGTGGTTATATCTGTGTTTGGGTCAAATACTCTGAAATATATATTTTTTTTTTGGCGGCAGCTGATCAGTTAAGACCTTAACTCAATTCGGGACCATAACTTACCCTCACACAAAGACTTTCCCTTAATCGCTTTCTTTGACTTTTTTCTGATTTTCACTGCTGGAGAATTAATATACGCAGTCCACCGCAAAATCCACTTCTAGTATTTACAGTATGAATTGGACCATAAGGACTACATAGTAAATATCTATTTTAAGAAAGGTGGTTCTCTTCTATCTTTGAGACTTTGAGCCGAATCTCAAAACAAGATTAAGGGATATTTTGTTTTTGCACCAGGAAATAAAAAAATATGCCAAAGACCAAGAAGTAAAATAGATAGTTCCCAAGGTTTGATTCAGTCCTAAACTGTTCGTCTTTTGGTAATCATGGCGTTCCCTTGGACTGGAACAGGGTGTTATTTTAGCACAACTTCTTCGAATTATAAACAGAAACAATATGTTTCATGACTTCCATTACTCACCTTAGGCAGAGATTCAAGTACAATGTTCATGATGGCAGCATCTCCGTATTGTTTGTACACATGCGCCTTCATTCGCATGCGTTCGGCCTCAGCCTTACCAACCAATTCAATGGCATGAGCCTCGGCTGAACCAATCTTACGTATTCTTTCGGCTTCCGCGCGAGCCGTCTCAATTGTTTGGCATCTGCAGAGCAAAAAAGAAAAAAGAAAACAAAGCTTGTAAAACACACTTCTACACTTTATGTATGTCTTTTAGATTGCTACTTACTGTTTGCCCTGTGCAATGGTCTGCACACGATGAGCCTCCGCTTCGGCTGGTAGTTTCACAGTGGCCATGAGTTCACGTTCCTTACGTTGGACTTCCTGTGCTTCGATTTCGATTTGCTTGCGTCGTTCAACCACTTCGATTTGTATCTCCTCATTACGTATTCTCTGTCGTATCTTTGCTGCTTGCAATTCGTAGGCCAATTGAGATTCAGCCTTCGCTGTATTGATCTCCTGATCGAAATTCGCCTTTTGCAATTTATACATACGCGAATTATCCTCGATTTTAGTATCCGTAGAGTATTTCACATCCATGGCACTTTTCTCGCACTCAGCCTCGCGTATGCCGGCGTCACGATTAGCTTCGGCTACGCCCGCATCGGCATCACGCTTAACGCTCGCCGTTTGCGCCTTGCCCAGCGAAGCCAAATATTGTACGTCATCGTAGACGTCCTTGATGGTGAATGAGAGTATTTCAATGCCCATGCGACCGACATCAGGTGCGGCCACTTCGCGTACCAGCGCTGCGAATTGGTCGCGATCTTTGTAAACCTCTTCGACTGTAAGCGTTCCTGTAATTGAATAAGTAGAAGAGACAATACAATAGATTTACAGTTTCAATATTATTGAATTGGTAGAAAACTATGCAAATAAATTTATTTAAATTCGCATATCAATCTTAGATGATTATACAAGGATTTTAGATCCAAACTCTCATATCTGGGCAAATCGGTAATAAGAGGCAATATGAAATAGGGGTTTGATATGGTCGATTCCGGCAAAACATTAGACAATGAACACCAGCGTACAAAGTTTGGATGACTCGTGGTTCTATTTTGATCAGTACAAATTTAGGTAGGTCTCCCTCTTTTTTTTTTCTCTGCCAACCAGCGTAGTACATAACAACAGATTGTTATAACACATAACGCATAAAAGAGTATAATAAAGGAAGAAAAAGAGCTCGAAGAGTTTACAAAACTTTTATTAGCTGTTCTTCTTTCAACTGTTTCTATTCAAACGGTAAGGAAATGCTTTCTTTTGGTCACATTCCATGATTTTTCTTACTTAGAACATAAAAGAAAAATATACATATGTACATATATGTATGTAAATGTAGGCTCTTATTTTTCTTTTACATAAAGTCGCTTTGATTTCATTGAATGCGATATTCGTTGATATTACTAATGAAGCCAGACGACATTTCGAAGAAAGCAGAAGATTCGATAAATTAAAAATTTCTTTTGCTAATATTATTTTATTACAGCGATTGCCAGAGATTTTGTAGTGTTTGACAATTTATCGAGGAAAATATTGGTACCCAACTTTTTATAGATTCTCTGACAAACTTTGTGCTATAAGTGCAGCTCGACGAATGCCGCGGTCCTGCACAAACATAAAACGATTTGGAGTTCGTTTTGGATCGTTCGCACTCGTCCGCCTTTGTACGGGTTCTTAAAAGTGGAAGAATATATCCTAGCTTTGTAACCGCTGAAGCGATCTTTGGCCGAGCTCCTCCTCCAATTTGTGTTATTCGTCTTGATCCTAAGGTTTATACTAATTCGCATCCGAACGGTTGATGGTTTTTTATGAGAAGCTTATTTCAAGTCAAAAATACACGCGGAGGAGTTGGCATTCCCTTCCGAGGGGCGACCGCAATCAGAAAAATTAACCTAATTTTTTTATTTAAATTAATTTCGTATAATTATTATTTTTTGATGTTGGTCAGAGTAGAACTCGAACCCTGGTCTTCCGAATGCCGGTACGTAATGCTAACCGGCCGGCTATCGCGGCATTCTCCTCATTCCTTTCCGAAATAATACACTTATGTTAAAGAATAATGCAATCTTCAGGACACTTTTAGTTGTACCTTTTGAAATCAATTTCAGTTCTCTTGTATGTTTGTTACAGACTGGAAACGGGTGCATCGACGTAGTAATTTATGTTTTGGAAAGGAAAGAAGTCGGCGGGCGCCATATTGGATGAATATGGTGATTGTTCGGTGTCTTTAACGTAACACTATTGAGTTTTTGAGAACTTTCGAAACTAGTTGGATAACGTGTTTTATCCCCCAAACAATGGTTTTAAGAGATTAGTTCAGCTTTAAAGTAAAATGATTTTTGGCCACGACTTCCTCCACATGAGAACAGAGCGGGGTATATTTTTCAAACCATCAAATTAAAAAAAAAATATAAATCAAATACAATTGGGACGTGATGTTAAATCCCTATGAACTAGTACCATTATATGCCCATTTTTTGCTCTCTTCTAAACTATGTATTAGGTGTAGTAAAAAGAAGTCCATTATTTCTCCAATAGATGACGTTAATTATCTGTATCTCGCGTTGTATAAGACCGATCGGGCTTCGCTGGACGGCGTTACAAATATGACATTTCGTACTAAAAATGCTTTTCTGACAGTTTTGTGATTGGTTGACACTGCCAAAGAGAAAATTCGCTATATTTTACAGTTTTTCTCCAATAACGGCGCAAACGCAAGTCAGGCAGGTGAAAATGTGAATATAATTTGTGGTCCCGATACTGTTACTGTCAATCATGAACAATTTCGGTTTTATTCCTTTAATTTTGACGTGAAAGATGCTTCACGAAGTGAAAGGCCAAATGTAGAAAATATTCTAGTACGATTTGAAAGGCTGAATGCGAAAACAAAAAATTAAACCATTAAATTTTATTAAAAAATAATGGATTTCTTTTTACCTGCATGGTATAACAAAATGAGTTGGATCATTTTTTCGCTACATAAAAGAAGCGCGTCTTCGAAAGTGATTTTTTCAACCATAAAAATAATGCACAAGATTTACATAATAGAAGGTTTCGATAAGAGAAAAATCACTTGCTTAATGACGAAGTTGGTTCAATTTTGTGGGTTGCCGAATATTTCAATAAAAATTTCCATAATTTTATCAATAAAACAACGCAACACTCTCACTATAAAATTCTAAAATCATTAAAATTTTTAAAAACTAGTAGCAATCTCAATTAAAACGCCTCGAATAGTTTTATGCAGAAAAAATGTATTTTGTTTCCAAAAAAATTGAAATTATAAAAATGAATTTTCTTTTTTAACAAAAATTTCCATAGCTAGCAACTCAAAGATAATTAATAATAATAATTAAAAATTTTCAAAATTCCAAAGGAACGCGCATTATGATAAAATATTCAAAGTAAAGAGAGATTTTCGCACATTTTTTTTATCTGCTGAAAAGCTTTTGGGAAATTGGTGATGCTTGTTAACCGTTTTTTGAATTTCGTGGTATAAGGTTTTAAGCTGAAAACTTGAAATTTTGGTAATAAGAAAATCGGATAGAAATATTAATAAAATATAACATTTGCATATGTAAGAAGAAAATATTTTATTTTTTTTTCCTGGTATTAACGCCATCGCCTTTGTGTAAGGCTCTTATTCAAATTTGGTTATCTTCGTCTACCTGGACCATGGTTTGTGTAAAAAATCGCCAAATCTGTGACTGGGGTGACCAAAGAAAATATGTGTTTTCGTTTGTATAAGAAGAATTCTCCGGTAACTACTTTATTAGCATCAAATACATATATATTTTTTAAAGAAAAAATTTACTCTTTTTTATAATATATATCAAATATAGCCCACAGTATATATGACGAAGTTGGTTCCGTGACGTCTTCGGATGTCGTAAGCTTGTGTTTTATAAACCTTATATACTATTCATATATCAATTAATAATGTTTATTGTCTACTACTTGTTGCGGCTATTTTGAATGAATGAAGGAAAATATTTGATGAATTTCAGCAAAATTTAAATCAGTATAATAGTTGTTCTTTAACCTTTGAAGGGATTTTTGTCCGGGGTAATGTGAGTATTGATGCTTTGCAGAAGAAGTTTCCTCTACTTCGAGGTTGGCGTCTTATTGTTTCGCCAACAACTACTGTTTTTGGAGTTGACATTCCCTGCCGAGGGGTGAACGCAGTTAGAAAAATAAATTTTCTATAAGTTTACTTCTAAAGTTGGAGTGCTTTCATCTATTCGGACGACATGACCTAGCCAGCGTCGCCGCTGTCTCTTCATTCGCTGAATTATGTCAATATCATCATAAAGCTCGTACAGCTCAACGTTCCATCGTCTGCGGTAGTCGCCGTTGCCAATATGCAAAGGACCATAAGTCTTTCACAAAACTTTTTTCTCGAATTCTCCCAAAGCCGACTCATTAGCTGGTGACATCATCCACGCCTCTGCCCCATATAAATGGACGAGTATGATGAGCGACTTGTAGAGTTTGGTTTTCGATCAGGGAGAGGAGGTCACTACTTTTCGATTGTCTATTCAGTATAAAGTAGCACCTGTTGGCAAGAGTGATTCTGTGTTGGATTTCAAGACTGGCGTTATTATTGGTGGTAATGCTGGTTCCTAAATAGACGAAGTTTTCTACGACATCAAAGTTATGACTGTCAACAGTGACGTGGGAGTCCAGTCGTGAAAGCGATTACTGTTGGTTTGATGATAGGAGATATTTCGTCTTGTCTTTGTTCGCTTCCAGACTCATTCTCTTCGCTTCTTGACCTTCTACATGTTATGTATTTTACATTAACTTTGTGCGGACTTCAGATATCAAATAAAAAGTGTCAAAGCTATAAAATGGAAAGTGTTTACAAAGTAAATATTTTGAAGAGAATCTCAATCTTATTTCGCCTTTGGTTAGCACTATTAACACTACATCTTCTGTTGAACCGCTGAATCAATGCTAGTAATAATTTTCAAGAACGATATTTTATCTCCTTTTCTTTTTTGTTTTACTTCAATTCATACAATTTGTAAGTTAAAATACAAAAATATCATTCTGAACAGCTCAAATAAAAGTAGCTCACAATATTGTTATTCTTTAGCGAAAACGCGTCATCGGTTCCGTTTGCGTATCCCGAATTGTGAGAAAAGTTTGGCCAGAACTCTCTTCAGCGGTTACAAAGCGCCAATTATATATTATCTAAAAGATGGAGTAATGTTCGTATCACTCATTATTTGAAGCGAATATCTAAATTTTCAATACGATTAGTACTTCAGCATTGTGAAAGTAAACAATTCATTTGTTTTGGTTATGAGAGATTTCCCAGACAAAAAGAAAAAATCTTAAAGCCACGCCGAGCTTGCTGAGTTCATGCTCGAACTTTCAAAAGCTAGAGTGAAGCTTGAGTGAAAATGAGCGTAAAAATTTTATTCATGTTGGCGCTAGAGCTCTTTATACCCACCCGTTCATTGCTCAAAGGGTCGAAACTGTTCTTTTTTTAATTTTTGAGTTCTATTTATACTAAACTATTTATACCGATGTCCTCAAGCTGTCGTCCAAAGGTATACAGCAAAACTGCGTAATCATCCGAAACCTTTGACTTATACACCTTGGCATTTGCAGCAGGTAAATCCCCCCTGAAGAGGGCAGCTACAGGAGTATTTTGAAAGACATTTTGTAACTTATTATTAAGCTTTCTACATGAAAGCAGATGGAAGAAATAAATAAAATATAAATGTTAATAAATAAAATGTAACAAAATATGTGTATCCATATTTGGGTTCACTTTTCAGTAGAA